TTTATTTATTATGGCTTTCTGGTACTATATCAAAAAAACCCTTACCAGTCCCTAGATGCTGCTGTGGGGAAATGATGAAGACCCAACTGCTCCACTGCCAGTCTTGTACAGCAACAGGAGGGGGGAAGGGCCAACCCTGAAACACAGATGCCCATCTGCCCTGTGCCAACTGCCATCTATGCTTGTATACAAGACCTGCTACAACAGTGGAGAAGGCTGGGAGCCCAAAGTTAAGTCCAGCTCCAACTAGATCTGCCACCCATTTTATAAAAAGTGGTCACAGATAATAGCAAGACAATAATGGCATTATGGAAAAAGGATGGCAACTGCATTAAAGGCTTGGCACCAGGACACCCTGCTACCAAAACTACACAGGGTCTGTACTAGGCTGTGTGAGGTTGGGGGCCTTACTGTTATAGAGAACTCAAGCACACCGTAAGCTAAAAGGGGCCTCATTAGCAGCGCCACTAATGTCTGCAGAGATTTGTGGGTTAACTTTTAAAAGTGTCAGAGAAGACAATACGAACCAGACAGAGTGGCAAGAGAAGCATGATTCAAGTGATGAAACATGAGTGCCTATTACCATTTTTAAAAACCCAGTATGGCCTGCCAGACCTCTTGTAAATCTGTTTCGTATCTGCCAGCCCTCTGCTGATGTCTCACATACCCAAGGCCATAAAAAATGTCACCAGGTGGTTATGTGTAAGCACCTCACTCCCACTATCAATGTTCCAGAGACATTTCTAAGGGAGTGCTCTTGGGTTTTGATGAAGATAAGTACTGATTTAAGACAATTACAGCTAAATATGAAAACAAGTGTAATTCTTCCAGTCTGGGCTGTCCCACATGGGGGGCAGCAGGGTGGGATGGGATGGAAAAAAAAAAAAAAATAAGTCAGTAATAGCCTTCTGATCTGATTTTCTACAGCTCTTACATCAAAGACAGGAAATGAACCACCAAAACAGAGGTTTGGCTTTCTAACACTGTAATTCCAGAGACAGACAAGAAGCTTCACGATTGTGAATGAGCTCCAAGTTCTTCTCATTTCCCATTCTGTCTCTCTGGTGGCTGAGATGAGCATAAACCAAGCATACAAACCCGTGAGACTGACTCTCAGATATGACAGCTGGTGGTAGACAGCAACTGGGCTAGCGCAAACAGGAAATTGTTACCAGAGAGGCAGACAGGATGGCAGCCGTTGCAGGCTCCATCCTAAACTTCTTTTTCTTTGGGGCATGTGGCAGATTTGGAGCTGCTCTGCAGTTATTTAGGAATACCATGCATTAACTTAGTTATTAGAATGTTTTCTTTCCTACAGCTATGCTGGTTTAATTCAGTCACAGTCTGTCTAGAAAACCAGGCAGGAAGAAAAAGCATGGCAAAATGTGTACCACTTCTTTAAGAGTTAAAAGCCTACTGAAAAAAGTAGACCTTTTGCTTCAGATTAGAACTGTGGTCCCTCCCAGTCATTCTTCCAGAGTCCAACCTTTCTCTTACATGGTGGGAGTGTTTTATGGAAGAGAAAAACTCAGCAAAGCCTAGAATAGCCTTTATGTATGAAAGCAGTGTTCTCCAAGACTCTAGATCAGGGCCAGCAGTATTATCAGTATTCACTCTGAGGTACCAATAACCTGATTCTGTCTTTTGAAAAATGCCAAAATAGTGTCTTATTTTTTTGTTACCTGTAAAATTTATCCAAATGGACTCACAACAGTCATTCAAGTTCAGTCTAGGTGTAATTTCTTCTTTTAGAGAGAAGGTTACAATGAGAATGAAGTACAGGGAGCAGCAGTCAGTCAACTCTCCCTGTGATAAGCTTTCTCTGAAATGGTAATCAGATTTTTTCTTCAGTCCTCATGAGCCTGGAATGTTGTATGAAGCCCTGCTGAACTTTTCTTCTCTTTACTTCCCTAGTTTGTTCAAAATGCAGCTCTTGGAAGCTTCTCTCTAAAGCCCCAGATAAGAAATTTACTTCCTCCAAACATGAAATTGACGGGTACAATATATACTGAATGGATCACACTGAAAAAAAAAAAACAAAACCAAAAACCTTTTAACCAAACTCTCACAGAAAGTAATGGGAGTCAATAGCGCAGAATGATGTCAAAGAGCAGGAAAAACTGGACACAAAACATCATTAACAGGCTTCAGTAAGACACTATCTTTACAGTGGCAGGAGGCATTATTAGAAAGGTCTACCTTGTCCGGTGACAATCACACACTATTTTATCAAAGGTTAAAACCAAATACAGGTGGCAAAAAATGCCATTATCTGGAACTTCCTAAGCACCAGGGACAAGGTTTTCAGAATAGCAAGTACAACGTCATGATCTCACACTCAAAAACGAATCCTTGTTTAAAAATTCTGGTCATCTAAAAGATTATACTAAAGCCAAAAGTTTGTACTAAAAGGTAAAGGAACCAACACTGGTGTTTCCTAGTGTCCTTTGAGAGAGATGTCAGTTACCTAACTTAAGCTGAGGGAGGCCCTTTAAAAATTTTTAGCAATAACAAGGCAAAATAGGTAACTCGCTGGAATCATGAACACAACCTTTGGATTTGCCATCGATTACTTTAATGTAGGTATATTTCTTTGGACAAGAATATCCATCATATTATAAGTGACTTTAATCTGAGTCATATTATACGTATACACATTTATGCTACAGCAGATCTTAATGGACCTTCTGCCATTACAAAAATAGTCCCTTAGATTCTTAGCTTAAAATCAGCTCCTGCTTTTCCAAGAGTTAGTCTGGCATAAAGCTTACTTTCCTAGATGCTGTGCAGCACCACAGCTGGAAAGATGTTATTGCACATGTTGTTCCTTTTTACAGGTTGTTTTGAGATAGAGGTCACTATCATTTAATAGGTATATTCTTTTATTGTATTACTTAAGTCTCAAGACAGGATACCGTAGTTTTGTTAATTGTTGAATTCTTTTACAGGTATTCACCTAGTCCCTCAAGAATACAGCCCATGATACTTTTTTCACAGGTGAGATAGAAAGATGTCAAAATATGAAGTCCACGCCACCTGAGTAAACAAAGAGCAATAAAGAGACCTCTCCCACATTCATTCTCCTCCAACAAAGAAGCTGAAGCTAATTCCCTTGACTAGTGCAAGGGCCTGACCCTTCCCCCCTTGTCCCAAACTGTTACCACTACTGGCCATCAACAAAGTAGACAGCTGTGAGTTTCAGGCTGATGGACAGAACAAATGGCTTGGAGTTCATTTGAAATAGGGAAAAAAGTAGGGAGCTAATTTTGATAAAAGAATGAGTTTAAAGGTCTCAGGAGCAGGGAAAGAATGTAAGCAAGGAGACAGGAATGAGACAAGGAAATGATTATGAATGTTCTAAAAAGAAAATACAAAGCTCCTCAGGAAGGGGAAGGTTATTCAAGAGGGAGGACAGGGGGAGGAAGCAAGGGAACACACTGGCAAAAAACACTGACAAAGATATCTGAAAAAGCACAGCAAAGAGAAATTAGGGTAAGTTTACAGTTTTCCTACTAATATGAAAGTTTTATTCCCTCTACTATTATTTATTTTTCATGTTTTCTCATTGGCTGTAAAAGAATTCTCCAAGTTCTTTGAGCCAGTCAGTATGACATACACTAGATAAGAGAGAGAATCCCTCAATAAGTGGCAGGATCAACATCATAGCTGCTATCCTCCTAACTTACAGTCAGATTTAATTGACAGCCTGGAAAAGGCCATCAGAAGCACTTCCCAGTCTTCCTCTTGTCTTGTAAAAACAAGGAAACAAACAAAAAAACAAACAGGAAACCACCTCTCCTACAAAGGCAGAACCTAGTAACAGCAGCATCAGACCCATAATTGCTGAGTAAATGACAGGAGATTGGGGAAAAAGCAGATAATCTTCAATTTATCACTTCACTGGTGCATAGGTGTCAACAGTCCTGCTATGTTTATTAAATCAACAAGCAGTCCTGCAATCTATTAGCTACATCTCTTCAACTTTATAATGCTGAAATGTGTAATTAATTGTGTGTTGGTGTTATGTTCTTTGTTCTAAAGTCACAAAAGCTAATCCATTTCTGTGTTCTAGCTAGTTGACTAGCCTGGGAATCTTTGTATATGTTGATCATTCAATGCTAAACAAGTGGATTATTTACATAGAGAGTCATACAGAAGACTTGTAACTCAGAAATTCTGTTCTTGTAAGTACTTTAAAACCAGCTGACCTTAAAGCAAGTGACTGCGTGAATCCAAAAGAAAATACGCTAAGAGAAGATAGCTGGAAATTTCAACAACCTTTTAATCCTCTCACAGTTCTTTATATTACCATAACTCTTCAGGAAATACACCATCAAAATTAGGCAATTACAAACAGATGTGTGGTGTATTTTAAACCCTTGTCAATGTCCTGGTTACTGAGCTAGAATCCCAAACAGCACAAACCCCATGAACTTAGGGGGTCATAATGCTCCCTCATTTACTCAGTTCAAGTAATAAGAACCATATACTACCGGCTTTATTATCAGTGATATCACTTGTGCACCAAGACAGCACTCATCCTACTTTTGTAAGATTTTTTTTTTGTTGTCTTCTCTTGGAATAAGTATAATTTATCCTTGATGATGGAATCAGTGTATGATCCTCTAACCACTCCAAGAAACTCTTCATGCCAACCAGCAGCATAAATGAAACACCATAGTATGAATGTAACTTTGAAATAAGCTAAATCTTACAGTAGTTTTGAATGCAATAGACATGACTACACTTCAGAGTTGAATATGTACCACCAAGATGAATATACAACCAATATGAATTACATCACCATGGAAACTATGCACTCCTGATGTGTGAAACATGTCCAAACATTTACTTTATCTTATAAGCATACATATGTAGTTCTCAAGTACAAGTAAATCTGCAGTTTGTATTTTTAAAGCTCGGTGAATGAACAAGTATAAATCAGGAAAAATATGAGAATAGAGAGGAAAAAATGGGGGACAATATTGCTTTCAGATAGGAAAAAATGGGGGACAATATTCAGATTATATGATGTAAGTACAAACAATTTCATTGAGATTAACATCTTATTAAAACAAAAAAATGAAAGCATAACTCACAGCCTGAACCTAAAAATAGCCAAAGTGGGATTCACCTCATTACCTGCATCAGTCAAAAACTTAGGCATACAAACTCTCCTTTATAGGTAGGCGTCTATTCCAAGGCAGTCTTTCCACCTCTTTCTGTAGTCAGCCTTTCCAAGGGCAAACTCATTCTGCCTGTTGAGGGCACCTACTTCAGGGTCACCATTCCCCCTTCAGAGGGAGGTACCAAAATTTCAGATGACTAAAACTACACAACACAAATCTAAGGTTTCTGTTACTATGACTGCTTCTCAGTATCCTAATTTACTTAGATGACTGCAAAGATAGTGAAAACCTACATCAAATCTGAGATATCTGAGGTGGCTAAATTCTGAAATCTGGCTCTTCGAATGACATTCCCAGCCTTTCTTCAAAAATCTTAATATTCAAAAATATGGAAAATATTTTTATTACTAGCTTCTATTGCCCTTTACAGAACTCCCTGGGAGTAGGAAACACTGGCTCCTTTTTTGTAACAAAATATGAGTAACATTTAATTGACTGATTTATGTATATTTTATTCCTGCTTAACATTAAAAATAATTTTTAAACTACACAAAAAAGATAAAATGAGAACTAAAAGGTACATGAGGGTCTGGGAAAAAAAAAATGCACATATTCTAGAGTAATCAAATTTATTTGGTTTGCTTTTCAGGCACATAATTTTAGAAAGGGATATTCACAGAAAAAAAAATCAACTGGGAGAAAAACATGACTAAAAATGTTCTGAGAAAAATGCAGTCTGTAAAAAAGATGCTTTATGTCTTCTTTACAAGGCAAATGAACTGAACCACATGAAAGACAGAATTTTTATATTACGTTAAATCTTTTATTAAGCTTCATGAGAAATATTTCTGTTAAATGAGACGTTAAAAAAGAAAGAAAAAAGATCCTCCTCATACTTGATTGCTATTCCATCAATAGCTGATGCACAATTAGAGGAAAAGGCACAACAAGCCATGAATTTCAAAATAAAGGTAAAAGAAAATAATGTAACAAAAAAAAATCTGTAAATGTATGAATGTTACATCATTCCTTCAGCTAGCTCAAATTTGTATTTACTCAAGTCTGTGCAGACTCCTTTTTCTGTACAAATAAAACAAGTGTTTGAGGAACCTCTCTCTTTTTTATTTCCCGTATCAGTTGAATTAAATTGTAATATATTACTTTTTAAAAAATCTAGATTCCCTTCTAAGTAATTAAATACATCTTTCTGAAGAGAAATTAATATGTTTCAGCAAGAAAAGTTCTGAATATAACCAGATAAACCCAGCAACTATAAGAAAGGCCATTCAATCTTTAGTGATAACCTCTGTGTAAAATCACAGAGGTCTGCTCAGCTAGAAACACTGCTACGACTGCCAGATTGAGAAAATAGTAAAAACTGTCTTTCTGGCAGATATTGTGGTGGTATGCTGCATCTCTAAAAACAGCATATCACTAAGAAGTTGTAACAGAACTGGCTCTCTCATAGGTATGTAGGATACATCACATACCTGCCATCATGGTGAAATCTTGGCACAGCTTGTTTGTGTTCCAGAAGGCAATACAAGTCAGGCAATTGACCAGTCCGAATGCAAGGCCTAAGAAATAAAAGCAAAAAATTCCGTCAGCATTCACATTTGCAGTGTTTGAAAACAAAGATGTCTTCCATGTCATGCTATCAATCACCCTGCTTTTATGCACTATCTATCATTTAGTTTGTTCCATGACAGAAAGGGCAAAAAACATTCAGACCTCATTTAGGCTCATACAATTCAACAGTGAGATCTGAAGAGAAGAATTAAGTCCACATATGATTGAAACATACTGTCATGAGCATTTTGCCAAACCATCTATCATCCTGGCACTGTACATTGCCACATATTTTTGTATGCTACTTGATAAAGATTTTCTAGCCAATATACCCATCTGTCATGTATGTGAAAATAATCCCATACAAATAAAACAAGAGAAATATGCTTAAGAAGCTAGAAAAAATTTGGTTCTGTAACACTGAACATTTGAAGTTTTATGAACGTCTAACCCCAAAATAACTTTGTTACACATTATTAATTAAGAGTAAATATTTATTGAGAAGTTGTACAAAATATCTTTGAAGACTAGAGCAAATTATACAAAGCAAAAGGTATTTTAAAATAAAGATACATTGAAAATAGTTATCCAAAGAGAAAATCATCTCTAAAGCTGAAAATTCAAAACTTGAAAGAGTCTGGTATGCATTATAATTCAATCTTGATCTAGGAGATCAAAAGGCTATTGCCACAAAACTTATCTGTGGCAATAAATCTCCAGAAGCAAAGTTAGAGTTCACAGTCAATGGAGTAGAACAAAAGACGACTTTTAGGGATTGGGCAATCTGCTCATGACAGTGAAAGAATCAATTTGCTATAGACAGCTTCCTTCTTCTGCTACTGAATGTACTGGTAACTGATTATTTTTAACTTGGATATCAGACTTCTGGAAATTTAAACAATACTTCACCACTACTAAAAATAATGGAAAACTACTCAAATTCAGTTTATAGGGTGACGACATAAGATGTCTGTGTTCACTCAAGTTTTTGCTATTTTACTGAATTCAAGCTCTAAACCAAAATGTTTTGGTTGCCAAAGACATGCCTAAGTTGTCAAAAAGCACTTAGTTGTAACCTATGAAAAGCACTGTGATCACAAATGAAGATGTTACTTTTTCCTCCAAGGGACAATGAACTTGTACTCAGTTTAAAGGTGAAAAACATACACCAAAGGAATATTTTTACATTTAGTAAAGCTATGTATCTTGTAAAATTAAATATCTAAATCCAATTCTTAAATATTGATCTTGTATAATAAGAGCTTAACAGTTTATACTAAAGTGATACTACAAAATTGAAATCCTCAATAAATATTTATACTATTATAAGTCATAAAAAATACATGCCCTACATTAACTTTGTACAAACTACTGAAATATTTGCAGGATAGTGAGTTCTTTTCAGTATAAGGCACTAAAATTCAGCAGACTAATTCACCTCTTCTGAATGCTATACCATACAGAACATCAGTTGTGGAATACATTTTTACCATCCTAAAAGTCTCTAAGAATCTTTCTTCGTCACTTGCAGTTATTCTTCAGCACAAAGTTAATTAGGAAGCGCTAGCTTACATTTTACTTCTTTTTAATCAAAGAAAATAAATGCTACTTCCTAGGCAGGTCAACATAAAAGAAATTAAAAACCTAAAGTTACTTGCTATTATAGTTTAACCTGCCAACTGAAATTATAATAGCAAAAAAGAGCTGATACCCATTTGCTACTCCTTGACAAACTAAGGCATCTATGTATCATGAATAAACCATAGGAATGCTAATGAAACTAGGATCCCTGTGTCTCCAGGGTATCTGCAGAAATCCATTCTGAGTTGCTAGTGCTACACAAAGTGTATAAATTTGAGTGAAAAACTTTCATGGAGTTGGTAGCTGAGTCCTTGCTGTCACCAGATACCTCTCTGAAACTAATCTCTGCAATTGGCATCTTCATGAAGAATCTGAGAAAAGAAAGAGGATCTGAACTACATATGTGTGGGAATTAACTATTGATCTCCTGTATTTCCTACAGATTACAATCTCAAAGAAGGATAACTTAAACTTAATTTTTTTTTCCTGAATACATTAAGCTCTTTTTTTATCTGAACTGCAAGTGATGTAGAGACTTAATTTCCCAAAAGAAAACATTCTCATATCTCTTCTTCATGGTTTTATTAAAAAATAAAGTGCAAAGAAATTGTTAGGAAAAAAAAAATATTGTCTAGGAGAAATCCTGCTCTTTGTGCAGGACTGGTGTAAGATGTTCAATACAAGCTGAAACCCTTCCGATAGAATATTCAAAAATGCCCTGAGAGTCAGTGAGAGAAGTGCCCACAGCCTTCAACCCATTTGGAAGTAAAAGTCCGGACACTTCTCAAGAAAGAAACTATACAAAGGGCCCTATAGAAAGAGAAGGAAGTCCTCTTCATGCATTTTGAGTTTCACCTTCTACAATTAGACACACTACACTGAAAATCATTATTGGCTCAACTTGCTGCTATGGAAACTGTACTGGGTAGCTATTCCCCTTTGGCAATGGAGATGCTCTGATTACAACAGATGAAGGAAACTTGAATTGTCTTTGTTTTCACCTGACCTAATGAAAATTTGTACTTTGGCACTCAAAACAATCCATCACTGTACTTACACAAAAATAAGTTAGAAGAGGCCTCTGTAAAACATGTCACCATTTCTTCATGTTTTTTGTATGAAAAGGACAGAATAAAGTAAGTTCTTTCAATTAAAAAAAGTGAAATAATGAAGAGTGAAAGAGCAATAGAGAAAAAGAGACTCAATATTAGCAAAAGTGCACTACTGAAAGATAGTGCCTAAGCTTAATAAAAGGCAATTTACATGGCCTCTTTAATTACTAAGTTTGGGCATTGGTAACGCCTGTAGTTTAAGTCAATCTGTATATAAAAATCATTGTTCATCAATACAAATTGGATACATAGTTCAAATACAAAAAAATTAATCCTGGTTGGTTCTACACTTTCTTTACCATATCTAACCACTAATGATTCCATATTAAAGAAGCATTTCCTGAACTACAATTATACTTTCCTAAAAACAGCCATTAAATACTCAGGTAGCTGTTCTAGGAATACTCTTCCCATTCCCCAGTAGGACTAGTTACCTGTGTAGCTGTTTATCTTTGCTCAGCACACTGAAGAGTGCATGGCACAAGACAGAATGCTGTTCTTGGTACATCACAGCGAAAGGGCACCCTTCAACATGATTCATGCTCATGGAGTTAAAAGACAAAAGACATACATCCTGGCTTATGCATTTTCTTTCACAAGACTCACAAGATCTCAGTATAAATGAAAACTGTATTTGCAATATCCACAGAAGATTTTACTTTAAAAAGGAAAACTCATAGTTGTGTGTATGTACAAGTAAAGCCTCCTTGCTTCTAATATAGTAAATAAATTGTTCAGACTCCAGCTCCCTATAGATAAATACGACCTCTGTAATTGCTGTCAAGGTCAATGAGAACAGGCTAAGTACTTAGATGCTGGATATATAATTTACATCGGCGTGGAGCAATTTTAACATGAAGTTTCAACTTTTCTAGCCTATTTGTTTAATGTTCATTCAAATACTACACTTTTGAAAAATTGTTATTTTGAGGAAATAAAGTTAGCAAGTGAGTCTATTTGGTAACAATTTTTGTCTTCAAGTATGCGTGCTGCCTTTTCTGCAGCCCTTTATAGCAAGATTTAGAAGAACTGTAGATTTGAATAGCTAAAATTAAAGTCAAATGGTATCACCTTCCCTTCTAAAATATCAACAACCCCAAGATGCTCCAGGCTGAAAGAGAAAACAAACAAAAAAAAAAACCACAATCACAAATGAGAACTTTATTTCCTCACAATTTGGTGATAATTTTCTTGTGCAATTAGTTAACTGTTGTCAACATTTATTGAATTTAGCTGAAACGCCTCAATTCCAATGCACAATTTGCAAAGTTCAGTCTCTGGGCTACATCTGTTAACAAAATGCTGCTAAGAGAAAGCAGATTTGTTTAGGTTAGATGGTAATGGGTTCCTGAAATATTCCAGTAGCAAGACTGCATTGGTAGTGAAACTATAAATACCTGTAATGATGAATTCTGACCCAAATGTAGGCTTTATTTACCATTCTTATGTAACACCTCCTTAAATCCACTTGGTGCAGTTTCAAGATGAATGTGACCTGGGATGTTAACAGAACAAAGCTGATCCACACCTCATTAACCAAACCAAAAGAAGCAAAAAGACCAAATTCACCTTCTCTCTTTCTTTTACTTCACACCTGTAGATAAGAAAACACACAGCTCTGGGACTTTGTGAAGCTGATCATAAATGCAGGAAAACAAACAAACAAAAAAAAAATAGATTACTGAATGTGCCCTTTTACAGCTTATAGCTTTGACCTGGAAGAATTAATCAGCCTCCAGCTGGAATTCATGCAACTATCTGGGCCCAGCCAGTCAGTTTTCAATATACCTCACTGTCCACTTAGCTTACTCATATTTCCTGCTTGTTCATTAAAATATTGTGAGAAATAGCATCAAAAATCTTACTGAAATAAGGCAAACATCATGCATTGCTCTCCTCTCACTCATCAAACCAGTCACCTCATTACAGAAGACTATCAGGTTGGTTAAGCATGATTTCCCCTTCATAAAACCATAATGAATACTTAAAATAAGCTTCTTGTCCTTCACATTTCTGGAAACTGTTTCCAGGATTAGTTGTTCCAACACCACCTCACCTCCTGAGGCTGTCCAACCTGTAATTCCCCTTCTTGAAGTCAGCGGTAACAGTCCTCAGAAACATCCGGATTACCACAGCCTTTCAAAGACAGTCAAGTTGCCTTGCAACAACATCAGACAGATCCCATAGCACTCATGGGTGCAATCCATTATGCCCCATGGACTTACCGATGTCCGATTTTTTTCAAGTGTTCCCTAACCCAACTGTTCTTCACCAAGAGAAAACTTTGCTGCTTCATACTTTTCATTGGGTCTCAG